CTGTTTGAATCCCTGGCTCAGTTTAAGACTCAGTTGATCCCTCCTGGGAGAGGAGGTCCAGTTTGCAGGATGACTTCCTGCCAAGAGGCAAAGACAAAAACAAAGTTAAAACTCAGGGAGACAAGAACTCAGTCTAACTCAGAGAAAACTCAGCTTGGCTAGAATACCAAAAACTGGCAAACACTCTGGCGTCGAGGTAGTGGCAATCAGCAACTTAAGAGCACTCCGTTAATGATGTAACCGTCAGCAGGTGTGTAAGGAGGCAGACCAAAACCAGGCGCCTCCTGTTGGTGGAAGGGAGACAAACACAAAACAGACAGGAGCCCGGACGGTTAAAGTATCTGCAGGTTAAGTAAAAGGAATATTTTACAAAGTATTGACTTGGTCACTCTGAACTCAAATGCATGCAGCACTTTTCAGTTTGTGAAGATTCGCAGTCATCCAGGTCATAGTCATCCCAAAAAACTTAAAAAACCTTAACCAGAGGGGGTGGCTTTCAAAAACCTACGATGCAGCATTAGAGTTGATTCCTTCCCTCTATCATCGCAACCCCTACCACCATACAGGGGGCCAAAACATCTCGCCTGTTCAGCCAGGCCAACAATTCTCTCTAGTGACCCCCTTTCAAAGACATAGACAGGTATCTGGTATTGCAGGCTAACAAAGAACCCAAACGACTCCCCATTCCTAAGGGGCGGGCCCATTCATCCGGTTCAAATTGCATGTTTTCTAAGCCGAAAAATGCTTCCTTTTTGGTCCACTCTATAAAGCCTCAAACTCAATGCTATTTCTGACATTTTGAATTAAAAAAGCTTCATGAATAAAATAAATGTGCAATAAAATCTGAAGGGGTGTGAATACTTATATATAGCATGCACATATCCGAAAAAAATGTTTCTACCACTTTTTTGTGCAGTTGGTGTTGGGACAGCTCACCATGTAATTTTGGTGAGAAGACTACTACACTACCAATCAGTGCCAAGGTGTTCTTTCATGAACAACCTTCATTGATGGTGGTTCATGTTCATTTGTCTTCATGTCTTTATCTGCAGAGATTAACCTTCTTCTCCAACCCTTCCTCCCTTCCCTTACATGTTTTCAATTAATCGGTTCTTTCTTAGCAGTCTGATCTTAATCACTTAATTGGAGTCTCCATTCGGATCTCTAATTGACCCCTAGGTCCACTTGCCACACTTTGTAATGGATGACTTTGTATACACCAAACAATACAGGTTGTACCAGTATAGCAAAGCAATTTTCCATTCTGTCATTTGCGTTAACCTTTTCTCATGTTACACTGTATTTCCTTTTATACTCTGCATTTGCTTGTCATCCCTATTATTTTTTATTCATGCATGTCTCCTTCTCCCTGTGTATTCATGTCATCCATCAACGTCCTGCAGAAGCATGCTCAAGCCGGTCGAAGTGTCCAATGAAGGAGGGCCCCTGGGGATCCACGTAGTTCCTTTCAGTTCACAGGATGTTAGGTAAAGATGAGAAAAGATAGGAGTTAAAAAAAGCAAGAGTTTTGTAATATTTATTCATTCATTGCCTGTTTATTTTGCTTTGTCCATGTGTTTTTTTAATGAATTTCCATAGACCGACCTTGTCAACATGCTTTTTATGTTCAGACAATAGTGACTCTGTGGAGACATTTTTTTGGTGTTGTTTAGCATCAACATCCTTTGCCTCTAACATTATATTATACACATTATTATTATTACCAGAAAAGATTAGCTGCCACAGTTTTTTTTGTTTTTTGGAAAATGTCAAAACAAAATTATGTGTTTGATTTTTTTAACAATGGCGCAATAATGTTATAACTGAATCTCACCTCACTTTGCTGTAGTTCTCTCTCTGTGCTAATGAAGTCTTACATGCTGGCTGCTTGAAACTAGCATTAATGATTTAATTATTCCTAGTTGTTTCAGCTAATAGTCATGTGACCACCTGTGAGGCACTCATTTAGCATCACATTTTTACCCCATTTACACTACCCTAGCCGAGACCGGTCCGAGCTCAGTAACTGGGATAACTTATCGTGTGTAAATGGAAAGCAAACTGAACTGAGATAACTGCAGACCAGTTCCAGAGGTGGGCTCGGCTTGGTTTTTCCCTGGCTCGGTTCTCTGATAACAAGAGCGCATCAGCAGAACGTGTCATCTCCGTCTGGCTGCACATCCCGATTCACACCCCATTCCAGTAGTTGGCGATAATGCCCCTCTGGAAGTTGCTTGCCAACCAACATAAAACAGAAGAAGAAGAACAACTATAAACAACAATCGAAATCTTCTCCACGCAACATTTGAAATAATGGCATTTTAAATAATGACACCGAAGCACAGCAATAATAATCAAGCATAACTTTCTGAATGTGACAGGCGCCACCATTTTGATTTGCTTGATTCCCTCCTCCTTTGTCTTCCTCTTCTTGTGTTTTATGGAGGTTGGCAAACAACTTTTGGTGCATTACCGCCATCAACTGCTTGATTTCCTCCTTCAATACTGGCAGTAATACCGCAGATCTTCACTAGGAGGCGAGGAGTCGAGGAACCGAGATAGCGTGATGATGTAAAACGGTCGTCAGAACCGAGCCTGGCCTGGTTGACTGATCCGAGCTCGGACCGGTCTCGGCATGGATCGGTTTTCAAGGGTAGTGTAAATGGGGTATCATGTTTCCCATGTTTAGACCTGTGTATGGAAAATTTGTCCATTTACCCAAATACAAGAATGTATAGAAAAAAAGGCTTATGAACATATTTAAAGTTCTACTTTATAATGTATTCTTGTTTCCTTTCACAACTGCATCCGAAGGGATTTAGAGTATTTCCCTATACCTAACTTTTAACTGATGAGTGTTGCTTGTAGAAAGAAAAGAGGAATGCATTTCAGTTTATAGTTTTTCCTAAAAAATAAAGGACATAAGAAAGTATTGAGATGTAATCAAACTAAAAGCCTGTGTAAAACACAGACCCTTGCTGAATGCCAACAGACTGGCCCACCTCCAAGGTGAATGTGACTACTCAGCACTGGTGAAGAAGGACAAGCGGATGAGGGCCACAGACAGAGCATGGAGATGAAATGGGATGACATTTGAGGGGGAGACATTGGCTGTCATTGGGTGCTTGAGACAGTAATCTTGTTGCTGTGTATTAGCAGGTGTCATGAAGCTATATTTAGCTCTGACTCCTTGTTAAGTCCCCCTATTGCTCTGACACTTACTCTGAGTCAGAAGGGGCAAGTTACCATTCAGTGAAATTGAAGCATTCAACTTAGTGAGAAACGCTGCTTATATAAAGTACAGATCCGACCCGACAGACTAATTTGTGCAGAATTATCCCTGAAAGCTCCCCTGTATTCCTGTAAAGTCAGGCAGCATTGTGTACGAGGGAGTACTAATGCTGGTTGGCCAGCAAGTCTCCTTTCCATCAGCTTTGCTTGTTACTAATAGCTACCACAGACTTCAATTAAATTCAGCCATAATAAGACTTATGTCTAGCCACTGGGTTGATGCTAATGGGCTGGCCCAGTTCTTTCCTGTTTTTCTGTGTGCTAGGACAGCAGGCATTAAGCTCAGCGGGCTGTCATTAGTGTCTAGACCAGGGCCAGAGGGGTCAGACAGCAAGCAAAAAAAAAAACAGACAGGCAACAAACAAGGAACTGTGGGCACTCCAGCGTCTGTCCGCATTCTGCTCCGCTGCGCTGACATAAAACAAGATCCGAGCAGGAGGGGGAGACAGCTGCAGGAGAGAGCTTAGAGACTCTGTCGCTCCAGCTGACAGTACCTTTCGCATAAACACACATCCAGATGCACTGATCCTCACCTGAAAATGAACCTGGAACCAATCACTTGGGGAGAAATACGGACCTTTAGAATTGTTTTCACAGAGAGACTCTAGCGGCCTTCTTTTCTGGTTCAAACAGTTGGAGCTAAGCACACATGTAGAGCTGCTTTACACCTCCACACACAAACAGCCCTTCTTGATGGATTTGTGCCTAATGAACTTCTAATACCATGACCAATTTCAATTGTAAACAAATAGAGGACATAATTACCGTGCATAAATGATCATGATTGGGGTATTATTTGATTAAAGTCAGAAGACGAGAGCAGGTGTCCTCCTTCTGATTAGTTTCTCAACTCTATTGCTGAGCCACAAGATGAAGTAAAGCTGTTTGTTTGAGTTTTATGCAGTTTTTCCTAAAAAAGGGGCATAATGTTAGTAAGATTTAATTTTGAGTTAAATTTGAACTATTTATTTCAGTTCAATTCAGTTTATCTATATAGTGCCAATTCACAACATGAAACACAAGGCACTTACAAATCAACCAGATCATACAGTCAGATTGATTCAAAGTTTCCTATTCAAGGTAAAATCAGTTGATTGCATCGACTTATTGACTTGAAGGCAATCCCTCATACTAAGCATGCTTGTAGCGACAGTGGAGAGGAAAAAACTCCCTTTGAACAGGAAGAAACCTCCAGCAAAACCAGGCTCATTGTGAGCGGCCATCTGCAGAGGCCGACTGGGGTTCAAGGAGACAGAAGCAGACATAGAAATAGAAGCAGAGATATAAAGGCAACTGTAAACGAGCTCCACAGGTGGCTCAAAAGCCAGGCAGACGAGCTCCAAGCCCGCTCCCATGTCAGAGGGTGAAGAGAGCACATCCAGCCAGTCACAGTCAGAGAAACAGGACTACACTGAAAAACAGGCTGATCTCAAACATCTATAAACAAAGGTGTTGATGGCAGCAGCACAGCTGATATTTCTCTCCAGGATGGCGTCACAGCCAAACAGGACCATTTATGCAACAAAGTTAAGTAAATCAATAAATATCAGTCAGAAATAAAGATGCAAAGAGGTCACAGTTTAGGGGCCTTAGGAGATGACTTATGATAAATATCATGAATATAAATGCATATATTAGTGCCTAATGTTGCGTTTGGTTCTTGCATAAAATTGTTTTCATTTTATAAAGTTAAGAAAATGCAAACAAAATATTAAATATTATAAAGTGGCAGGGACACCTAAAAAGCATGGCCTGTGTGGCCACATTAGTGAGATCCTAAATTGGAGCATTAAAATTTTTGCCTGCCAGCATAAGCAGCTGATACAGGTGGGACATTTTTAACTGTTTATGGTCATATTCTCAGTGATGCACTGCTATTCACTGAGAAAAGAAGCTCCCTGTATTTAATCAACCAAGGTTTTTGTTTTTATATTAATTTCACAGGCAATACAACTACAAACATCCAATGTTTCAGCAGACCAATTTATTAAACTTAACTAAATAAAGCATCATTTAGAGAGTTAAACAAAAAACTGTTTTAAATCCTACTACTAGGCCTGTCACAACCATGGATGTTATATTCTCCAAAGAATCATTTTTATAAATGATTATATTGTTGTTTTGAGAACAATTATTAATCTGTATAATTATGAGTTCAAAATAAAGTATAATCCATCATATATCAATGAAATTTCATTTCTTAAGAGCTCTAACACTTGAAGACTTGTTGAATATCCAAACATAAAGAAAACAACTGAAAACAATCAAATAAAATTAGGCCAAAATGTCTTTTATTCTGGCAATTTACATTGTTCGTCAAACAATTACAACACTTTTCAAAATACTGTCTTTTAACTAAATTGAATGAAGCATTTCTAAAAATATGATGCCAAGTTTAGTGTCCGTAAGTCTGCATAACTTTTCACTGACCTTTTTGTATTCGGCTTGGCGACTAAACCCTGCAGTGAAATTGGAATGTTGGGAAGACTGAGACAGCATTCGGAATACCGGCTTCTCGGGGTTAAGTGGCTCACCACTGTCATTTAGGTTATGAAACATATTCCCGCATTGTTGCTGTTGTGTTCCACTTTAAAAACAACTCAATATTATTTCAAATCTCGAAAACGCTTTCATATTATATACTGTGGTATGAGTATATCCATCCAATGACTGTGGATATTGATGCTGACACTACGCTGAGGAAACCAGAAGGGTTGAGTGGAAAACAATGCACTAGAGAAAAACTGTAAAAAAAACAACAAAAAATACAAAGAAGCATGCAAAGGAAAATAATCAACCTGATTTAAATATATTGTGCGAATAATTTTAGTCAAGATAGAACACAACCAGTCCAAAACATGTTGGAATAGTAGGTATTATATATGTACAAAATGAAGAAAGCAGTAATAAGATTTTATTCATTTTGTTTACACACATTATATGAAAAGGATACAATTGCTTAATACGCTTGAAACCATACAATATTTGTTAAATTTTATTGTATTGTAATTTGCAGAGATTTTTTTGGGACGAAGTAGAATCAAGTATCAAGAAGTAAGCTATTAGTAAATTAAAATGATCAAAATCTTGTTAAAAAGCTTGCTTGAAGTCCAGTTGATGACAACTAACATATAAGAGGTGGTCATTAAGGCAATTGTGACCAAAATTAAAGCTTCTAGTATACATGCAGAAACCCTGGTGGAAAAAAAAATCCCTCCAACAATTAAACGTAGTAGTGAAGGAGGAGAAAGATAAGGATAGACATTTTTTCTATCTTTGTTTAAAGATGTTTGAGCTTGTTTTCCAGTGTAGTCCTGTTTCTTTAACTGTGACTGACTGGATGTGCTCTCTTCATCCTCTGAGAGGGTGGGAGTTGGCTCGGAGCTCGTCTGCCTGGCTGTGTGTTTCCTGGACGGGGCCACCTGTTACAGCTGCTTTTTGTGTCTCTGCTTATGTCTCCTTGAACCCCAGTCGGCCTCAGCAGATGGCCGCTCACACCGAGCCTGGTTCTGCTGAAGGTTTCTTCCTGTTGTAAGGGAGTTTTTCCTCTCCACTGTCGCTACAAGCATGCTTAGTGTGAGGGATTGCCTTCAAGACAATGAGTCGATGCAACCAACTGGTTTTCCTTAGATAGAAAACTTTGAATCACTTTGACTGTATGATCCTTTTGAATTGCAAAGTGTCTTGAGATGACATGTGCTGTGAATTAGATTAGATAAATAAACTGAATTGAATTGATTTATTTATATCAAAGAGGTTTCAATCTATCTTGATGAAAAAACTGTTTTGAAAACAATGCACCCTTATCCTTCAACCTCAACACATTTGATTTATGTCATAAGTCTAAATGTATAAAGTTAATTAGATCTAAAGAAATATTAATTGAAATTCAGGCCGTAACATATTTTTAAAAAGCTGTATGATAGGTTTGTTAGGTGCTGTGTTTTCCTCTTAATCCTGCACTGACCTCTCTTCATGAAAATAGCTTAAGCTTTCATCACTCTTTGTTTATTCAACTCCTTTCAGCCTGAAAATTTGCTTCTGGAGTTTCTGAAAATCATTGACAAGATTATAAAAACCATGGAGATGTGAAAGAATCGAGTGGGTTGCTATGGCATACAGCGTAGCAAACACAATAACAGTGTTTATACAAAACCATCTTCCATAAATCTCGACAAGATGCTGCTTTATCCCCTGCATTGCCTGCTGTAGCTGAGAATATGAATCGTGGATCAACTGAAAAGTCCTTTATTTTCCATCTCTAGTCTGTTAGCAGATTAACAGTCATCTGAGTTTGTCCACGCTGTAATCTCTACGGGCGCCTCCTTGTTTTCAAGCTGACAGCACAGAGATAAAGCACAGGCGTCTCTGCTTCAACAGTTCCCGCAATTACTCTGAGCTCAGCAGCCTTAAGATGAGCTGGCAATGCAGGCTCAGACGCTGAGCAGGAGAGGCAGGCCTTTTGTGATCCTAATTTCAATTTATTGCTGAACCATTTACCCCCTCTGATCAGCTGAGATGAGTCTGTGGCGTGAGCGTGGATGTCCACGTTATCCAGCCAATTACGGCAATGTTCTGCAAGTGGTCCTGTTTGGCTCAAATGCTAAAGAGCTCTTTAAATTTACACTTGACTTCCGCAGTAAACAAAGTCGCAACTGAAAAAACGCCGTCTGAAAGCTTGGAGCATTTGGTTTGTCAGCCTCATTTATAACCTTTTAGACGTGTGGTTGATCGTTTTTGCTCCGGTGTATTTCAAAATGTTGGTGTTTGCCTTAATCGGATGTTTCCAAAAAAGAAAAAGTGAGAGCTCAGGTTTTCCGTTCATTTGATGTTAGCTGAATTCTTTGCTACTGTTAAGTGAGCTCACGTTAGAGCCCCTTTTTGCATGCGGTTATCCTTAGGGCCCAGATAAAGCCTGAGGAAGCACACTGATGTATTTATTCCTAGAGGAATGGAGGGAGGAAGTGTTTGAAGGTAAAGGTCTCTTTTGAAGGGATTGCTGAGATGGCACTGCAGTAAAACTCTTTGGATATTTATTTCTTACAGAGTCTCTTGCCTTAAGCTCCAGGGAAGGAAGCTGTAGCATTTCCCTCAAAGTCAAAGATGATCTCATACTTTATGGTTTAGATTATCTCAGCCAACCTGTCCGTCACTCTCTCAGATCTGCACATATAAAGAAAGGCAAAGTGGAGGACAAGCACACACACACAGATGCTCTGAATCAGGTCTCTGCTGCATCATCTCTCTAGGGCACAAGAATATTCAGCTTTTTATCTAATTTTCAAGTATAAATCATATTTTTTTCTGTCGATTTAGAGCGCTAAAATTACAAAAATTGCACAGCATACTTACTCACATAACTCACAAACCTAAAACTTTTTTAAAATGTTTTTTTACATGACATCTATGAAGTTCAATGGATATTTTAAAAATTTAAATGACAAACAAACAGAAAGTAGCCCACGATTTTGAAGAGAAGGAGAGATTCTAAGAGCTGTTTTTTCTACATTTGAAAGTTGAGTGCATTTGTATACATCCACCCTTACTTTGATTAGCCAGATAAAATGTATCGCTTTTTTTATCCTATATGCAGATTGTTCTGTGTGTCAAATATAATCACATCACAACATATCTCATCCCATGTAAACATGGGGATCATCCTGTAGGAACAATGAGGGTTAAAAAAGACTGTGTGTGTCTACGGCGATCATTTTTTTTCTTAATCTTTCATGAGGCATAAAAATAAGAAACTTTATCAGCCAAGGGGAGATATTACAAACATGTCCACCTACCTGATTACACACACAATTTATAAAAAGCAGAAATCCCTTTTTTGGGGTAATTTTTGGAATAGGAAATGTCCTCTTCAATCTCAAATCCTACCAATATAAAACCAAAATAGAATAAGTTTAAGAGTTAAAACTCAGATAAAAAATTGATAAGTGCTCTTGGGTGAATATTTACATTTAAATTTCAACATCTTTTAAAAAAAAATAAATACAAGATAAAAAGGGGTTTGGCAAAATGGCCTAATAAACCACAACAAAGTCTGCTTCAGAAGCAAAAATAATCAAATGCAAAGAAAATATGTAGTAGTTAAAATATATAGGCTCTGTTAGGTTAAAAAATGTAGGTTTGTAAAAGAGAAACTGAGTCCATACAGGAAAGAGATTCAAACAGCTCCTGCAGGAGTGGAAAGAGCCCAACCCAACTTTCAACTCTTTCACCGACCCCCCTCCTGCAGTCGTCTTTTATTGACAGAACATAACACATGGTTACAAAATACAGTATTGTTCTGACAGAACAGTTGATCAGGTCATAAGACAGGATGCTCCACCAGCTGTAATAACAAGGCAGAGTGGTCTTCTGACTGAATCACAAGACAGAGTGGATCATCTCCTTGCTCCAATGTTTCATAAGCACACACACATTAATTTTATAATCCTCAATGAATAAACCTAACAGGCTCCAGTAAGGGATCAATGATGGGGGCTCTCAACAGTGTCTGACCGGCGTGCCATCTGACATGCTCACAGCTGCTGACGATGCTTCTGTTTTCAGCCATATTTGATTCATTTGGCTGTTTGTTTGACAGGACCAGCTATAACTGACAGGAATCGATTCAGAAATCTTATACTTGTTACTTTTTTTAAGCTACAGAGCCTCTCCTGCTCCTCATCTCCAAAAACCGTCCATTATATTAGTTATTAGTTATTAAGTAATATTTTACACACCCGTACAGAATTTACATCCCAATAATAGGCCTACTTGTTATTTTTTTACTTTCATGTTTATAGATATTTCAACCCAGACAATGTAAGCTATATCTATTATGCTACCCCTTTATTAGTAACGTTCATCTACAGTGCTTTCTGCTTTGGTTTCTCACTTCATATATGATAGAATTTCTCCTGGTTTTTGCACTGTGGATAATAAAAAAATCCTAAAAACAGAGCAAGATGAATGCAAGACCTCTTTGCATCTATGTGGTGCATCTTAAAGGTATAGTGGAGGATGTTCTTTTTCCGGGTGGATCATCAAATTAAGTGGTCATCCTAATTGTCAATCATTCTGGTGATATGTTTACATAAGGCCGTCCTTACTCGTACCCATTTTCACTTGAGTTTGACAAAGTGGAAAAATTGCAAATCTTCTTTTGGAAAGTAAGCTTGTATGAGCGATGCAAACAGCAACATTTAAACAGAGCGTGCACGAGGAGAATGGGGCTCGTGCATGTTCTCGCACGTGTTTAATAGGCGTTCCCCCTCGGGAGCGGGTACAGGGTTGTGCATGTGCATTTTTCTTTTTTAAGTGGACAAGACAAATATATGTTACAGTTAGATTTACCCACTGCTTTGTCTTGGCCTCTCATGGAAAATGTCCTGAGAATACACTGAAGTTTGGGATTTTAACTTAAGAAAATGTGAGAAAAAAATTCAGTTACCACAAATATGTCAGCTTAAGATTGCTCTTATATATTTGTTTGAAGTAAATTAACTTGTATATATCTTTTTATTACCACAAATACATTTAAAGGACATTTATTAGGTATTTATTTGTTATTTTTTCTTTTGCAGGACTCAGGGCTTGCTGGTGAAGCGTTTGGAGCCTGGAGGAAAAGCTGAGAAAGAGCGTCTCTTCCAGGAAAACGACTGCATAGTCAGGATTAATCAGGGAGACATTCGCAAACTGCGCTTTGAACAGTAAGCTGTGATGTGCCACTGATAGAAATGGGGGCGTAACAGCGCAGCAGTGCTCTATGAGTTTTGGTTGTTTTAATTAGTGTTACTAATTTCAAATACTTTCCCCTCCCTTTTAATCAGGCTTATTTTGTTCTACCTCCAAATCTCTGTAACACACCCCTTCATTTTTATCCAGAATTTTCGTGGCTGATAAGCTGTGAAATGTTGGACGTGGCATGAAGCAGCATTCAACTGCATTGCTGTTGAAAAGTACAATGCAGACTCACCCAGCTACACTGTAAAACAGAGATATCACTGACCTACTGTAATGGCTCCCATTGACCTGCAGTGCTCTAGCACCTATTTGCCCTCTGATCTAACACTGCCCACATTCTCCTCTGGATCTATTTTCTAGCGACTCATTTCCTAAAGTGGGATGAAGATGTAAGGCTGGCACTCCTCCACTTCCATTTATCCAAAGCCACCTTCACTGCCTCTAACACAAGGCTGTATGTGTGGACTCACATACTTAAACTTGTGCTGACACACTGATTCAGTGACACTGAACTGGATTGTGGGGCCGCTGAACACTGGCTGTGTCCTTGGCTTTTCTTCTCATCGTCTGTTTCTTCTCACAATCCAGTAGAACAGATTTCTGCTAATGAAAGCCAAACTGTAGGCTGGTTTAGGACTCTGAATGGTTCTAAAAAATATATATAATATGGTACTTGAATCACTGCCAAGATAATAATGTATTACACTTGTTACTTTGATATTAAGTGGTCTATCAACAGTGTTCTGCAGAATATTGTTCATTAAACTTTTTTCCATTATGTTGAGTTCCAACCACAGAACCAAGTTGAGTTGTAATGTAATACATTGATGCAAAGTATAATACAGAGGAAGGAAAACAGCCCCTAGTTAACATGTTTTAATCCCACCATACATGTAAAACCCTGTTAACTAAAACGAGAATGATTTTTTGTTTCCATAAAGAAAAATAACGCAATACCATTGTAATGTATTATTAATTTGAAATTGAAGAGGTCACCACATAAATCAATGTTATCTTTTTTTGCTATACACCCTGCTAATCTGTCCTTAATGGAAGACTGGCGAGGTGAGTTGGATTATTGAAAGAAAGCCATAAGAAATCCAACTTTAATGTTTGTCACAAGTTAGTTAAAAACATGGCAGAAGGTCTTCCGACATTTCTACAACATTAAAGATTGGGTCACCAAATTTCCCTGTGGGGAAAATATAGGCAGTTGCAGCATCATGCTGTGGGAATGTTTTCTTCAACATTGGCAGTGAAAGTGGTCAGAACTACTGGTTAAAGGGGATGTAGCTCAATACAGGGAAATCCTGAAGGAAAACCTGTTAGGGCGGGCATATGCACACTACGATATTTTCAATCTTTGTATTCAACTAGAGCTCAAAATGTACGACCAAACAGCAGGGTTTAAAAGTTCTCAGCTTACGATGCATGTTCTTACACTGAAGCTCTGATGTGATCTATGGCGTAAGGTGCAAGAAGATTGTCGGTTTGAGCCCCACTCTGGCTTTTCAGTGTCATTGTGTCCTTGTGCAAGACACTTCACCTGCATTGCCTACTGATGGTGGTCAGAGGGTCCGTTGGCACCAGTGTAAGGAAGCCTAGTGTATGTCAGTGAGTCGCTGGGCAGCTGTGGCTACAAAGTAGCTAGTCTCCTGACTTGAAAAAACCCTATATAAGTGCAGGCCATCTAACTGGTCCCACTGGTCAACCAAAACACACACCTCTTACATAGCAAGGAGCTATGGTGTTGGTCAGACTGTTCAATCTGGAAGCCAAATGTAGACAGTAGAAGAACTACTGCCTTGTTTGTACATGCCCAGTGCACATGGTTCTGGTTAATCGGCTCGTAGACGCTCAAAGCTCTGCTTCAACAGCACAAACACCTCACGAGGGCTGACTGAATTTCAAACATGTTTGACATTCTCCCAACCTTGTGATTCCTGATCGGGAGGTGGTCCTAATTGGCCGAGAATCAGCCCGAAAAGGTCAAAAGCTCATACAGTGTACGAGAGCCTTAGTTACCTGAATCTTCAGCAGGGGACTCAAAACTGAGTGGACACTCTAAAGAGTCTGAAAGAACTTTGGCTTATTGGCAAAGAGGAAAATAAGCTATAACATTTCAAAGCAGATGGAGACATATTTCAAACCAAATCAACCAGGGAATCCTGTTTTGTACCACCTACACCCCCCACCCTCCCATAGACCTCACGGGCCTTTGGTCTTGGTTAGATTTGAATAGAAATAAAATGATGGAGGTAAGCTTCCCCCCCTCTCTGCGCCTCCTGGATCTTCCATGATTATGTTCCACAGAGAGTGACAATTCAAAGTGATAGTCTAATCTTCTAGGATTGTTTTGCATGGGTAAATATTTTGAGGAGCTTAATCTGACTGAATGTAATGATGCATTGATGGGGTAATTTATTATTCAATCAGGCTCGCACAGAGGTTGATTACCAGAGTGATGGTGGTGTATATTTGCATGTGGGAACCCTTGGATAAAAACACATGCATATATACGCACAATCGAGTACACACCTACTTATCCAGACATCAATGTGAGTTTGTGACTGATTTTTGTAAATTACCATAAGAATAAAGACGTGAGAGCCGAAATCCTGCAGAATAGGCTAGGTACTGCATTTAGGACTTGGCTTTGTCACATTACATCCATAAAGAGCTAAATGCATTGTTAGCTGTTGTTATTTAGACACATTGTTGTTTTTGTTAAGGAAGATCTAAAAATATGAGTTCAAACATCAAATCAAGCCTCTACCGCTCTTTGTCAATGCTTTGGTCTATCCAGAGTAGAATTGATTTACAATGGCTTGTAAAAGCTTTTTAACAGTTTATGGTGCTATAAACCAAAACAAGTTACATAATCTTTTTAGTAAACAGACTGGACATGAATTGAGCCTTTCTGGTCTTATCAAAAAGTTAGATTACTTTTATAATACAGGTTTCTTTCTTCTAGACAGCATGGAGTTAAGTACCCTGTTTAAGGGAATAACCGCTGTCTCTTATAAGTGGCTGGAATCAAACCCCAACTTTCCTAATGCAAGCCTAGCCTAGCTTAGAAACCATCCACCCATTTGTTGACCATGATTTTTCCTCTTCTTCACTCATTCATTGTGATGAATCAAACAGATTAATACTTAATTTTGAAGTTGAATAAAAAAAAAAAACCGTTTTCGGTTTTAAAAAAATGTAAATCTAAATAAAAATCTGAAAAATTTTTTTTTGCTTTTGTTTTTACTTGGTTCAGGTTGCTTGGCGTGCGGGGTTGGAAGGGTTCTTGAAAAAATTGTAATTGAGTAAAAGTATCTTTACTTTGCCTAAATTTTACTCAGAGTAAAAGTACAATTACCCATCTCAAAATTTACTCAAGTAAAAGTACAAAATTACTTCATTTAAAATGTAATTTGAGTAAAAAGTTACTTAGTTAATTTGAGTTATTTAATGCAAAAAGGATGAGTCATGAATCAAATTGACCACAAGGTGTTTTAATTGATTTCAAGGCGTATTTCAGTGGAAATCCACACTTGCAAAAGATCAGCTGGGCTAAGGAACATACTTCCTCATAGCATAAGGACAGTCACAACCTGAACCATAAAGTGCAAACAATTTCCAATCCTGCTGTCCAACAGACAACACCATAAAGAAATTTAAACTGCATGTTAAAGTTTTCAAAATGCACACAAAATTAAATGCCCAAAAGATACCAGAAATCAAACTAAAACACAACAGGATCCCACTGTTATTAACAAGCTCCTCATTTAATGATTTTAACTGACACTTATTTTACTTTAATAGTGATTTTTAACTGACACTTGTTTTTACATCAATTGCTTATATGTTTGAATTGTGTAAATAAAGTACAGTTAAAAGTCAAAAGTCTTCTTCTATATTTGAATGGCGATTATGTGTCAGTTCCGTGACACAGGGGTTTAAATTTCCGGCCGCATTTAATTTTTTCACTGTCTACAAATGTAGCGAAGTAAAACTACTTAGGTTAAAATTTACTCGAGTAAAAGTAAAAATTACAGATTTCAAAAACAACTCAGAAAATTACAAATTACTCATAAAAAGAACTCAATTACAGTAACGTGAGTAAATGTAATTTGTTACTTTCCACCCCTGCTCGCAGAACCACCTTTTACTTTGTTAAAGGCTGCAAGTAAACTTGAGGAGGTCTCTCACTGCTTTGAAACATGTCCTGACTGAGTTTGTCCCTGTTCTCTCTCAGATTTTAATGGAAAACCTTCAAATTGTAGTATTTAAGTCTCACCTCAAGTGAAATCTTGATTGCTTATCCTTTGTAACTATATTTGAGTCACTATTCATAAAGCAAGTTGATCTCCTACTTAAGTCTCTCACAGGTGTTTAAACAGGATGTCTTTCCCTCCCAAAAAAAACACCCTCACATCTTGATACTCCCACCACCATGCTGTTCTGTACTGATCATATTTTAAGGCTGATTTACATTAATAGTTTTCCACTGAGCGTTTTTTATGTAGGCTTTAAGGTTCAGTGTGTTTGCTGTGTTTCCTACATCACTCTTGGAAAATTGACAATATGGGTGCTTTGCTTCCTTCTAACAAAGACTTTCCTTGTCCCTCTATAATAGACAAGAGATATTGCTAATAAACCTGACTAAATGATTACTTTTGTCTGGAAAATTGAGCTTTTGTCTGAACTCATTTGATTCATCTCACTTGGGATGATTTGGGTGTGGCTGTATGATGCATGCTTGTTTGTGTTATAGTTTATTTTCTAAAGAGCCTCGATTCTGTGTGATCTGAGTCTTTTATTCAAATCACACAAAGACTCACAAACACACATTATAAAGTGGAATTTTCATTGGAAAGTTTGAACAGACAGGATAGTAGCTAATCAGTCATTCCTGATGTGCTGTTTGTGCAGGATGTAGTAATGCTGGCTATTTCATATAATGTGAAGTTTGTCTGCTATATTAATGACTATATGTATTTAGTAGTGTACCTTCAGCTCTCTGTATCCCCGTTTAACTCAGCAGAATGCAGCTTTCCCCATGTATGGTATATAGTTATGTTTCTAATGATATCACCCTCTCATCTTCCTCTTTTTCCAGAGCTCAGAACATTTTCAGGCAGGCGATGCGTTGCCAGCGCATTCTTTTCCATGTGGTGCCTGCGTCCATGAAGAGGCACTATGATGTACTTGCGGCTCAGAACGAGCTTAGTCCACCCCAGTCGCACAGGGTCCGCTTTAGCCAAGACCCCCAGCAACCAGGGGACCGGACAAGTATGGGTGCAGGGATGCCACCCACATCTGGACAGCAAAGCATCAATCACAAGTGAGTCTGACGTCGAGTTTTAATCTGAGCTGATATATCGATTACTTTTGTCAATGAAAATGTTTCTTTTTGTTTAACAGTTCAAATACATGTCAATCCAGTCATGAAATGTTTTAATACGTAAACACAGCTGTAGATTTTTTATTATAAATGGTTAAAACATATTGTTTTTCTCACGTTCACGGTTCTTCATCTAAAATCTGTGAAACTGACTGCAAGACACAATGTTTTTAGTGCAAAGTTAGACAATAAAAAATAGGATGAACAAAAAAAAAACAACAAGTAGAAAAAAATACATTCATCTGGTCACTTTCATTTCCTCAATTCATGCTCAATCATTCTCCGGTTGTTGGCAGAAAAACTTTAAACTTTGTCTTTTTCCTGCAGTCATCAAGGTCCCCTGTCAGGAAGCACCCCAGAACCAAGTCGGCGGTATGCCACTTTACCGCATGCCTTACCTCACCCCTTAATCTCCAGGACCCCATCAGCGCCTTCTCCCTCCTTGCAGCGTAGAATAAGCACAACCCCATCCAACATCTTCTACCAAAAGAAAAAGGGACGCAGCTTCAACATCCAGCTGAAGAAAGGTAATAAAGCAGGATTGACTCCACTTGTTGTTTGTTTGCATGTTTAGTGGTGAATAGTGAACACAAATCCAATCACAAGCTTTCAGACCATCTGTACATCTCAATAAAATTAACACCTTATCTCATTTCCAGCTTTTGCTCTTTTAAAAATAGCTAGTCATCAGATAAAATGTTGAAGTCAATTTCCAACCCCAAGCTGTTTGCGGCAAAGTGAATAGAAGTCAAATGACCTGGCTGCTGGTAGCCAACATCTGATCCAGTTAACCCTATATTTTGGATCATGAACCCATTTTTTGTCTTTTCCAACGCTTTTTTAAGAAGTTTGATTTATTTTGTGAGACATTGAAGAAAACTACTTTTGTTATTTGTCTTTATAGCTTCAGTTGGAAAATTAAAGCCATCTAAAAAGAAGAAATTTGCTTAATCTAGCCTTAAACGTTGTCATGATTATTGTCAATGATCTGATCAGGAAAAGGTTTCCCTCCTTTTCTTCCAACAGGGGGACCATCTGTGAAGGCGTGGGGTCGCTGTAGCAATAACTCATTTAATGATCTAATTTTAAACCAGCAACAAAACTGGCAGATTTTATGTTTCGCATTTCTTGATCTCAACATCACTGTCTTAAAAACCAAAAATAATTCAGCCTTCAAAGCAAATAAAAAAAACTCTTTTTCTTCCTTCCTAATTCAAAATAAACAAATTGTTAATTAATACATACCAAACTAAGTAGAATGGACTTTTTCTAGAGCCATTTAAAGTCAATTAGTCCTTGTTTTTCTAAGATGGGCCAAAGAATCAGAATCAAAATTACTTTATTACTTTGCAGGATGTTTTCCTCTTGCAGTGCAACCAGTTACAAAAGTACACTGCAAAAATGATCTAGAAATAAGTAAAAATTTCTTAAATTAAGTGTATTTACCCTTAATTTGAGCAGGTAAATGAGATAGTTGGCCAATAGAATGAGTATTTTTACTCTTAAAATAAGATAATTAGATAATATGCACTTGAAATAAGACAATGCAATTGTGTTTTCTTATTTTAAGTGTAAATTTTCTTGTTCCATTGGCAAAATGTCTCTTTTACTTCCTCTATTCAAGAACAAATGCACTTATTTTAAGAACAAATGACTTATCTAGATTCAGATTTTTTGCAGTGTACAATAGAGCAAAATAAAATGTGATATAATAACACAGAATAAAATAAGTAAAATTACAACCCAAACAGTATAATTACACCCTTCCCATATAAACTCTGTAAAATAAGATAAGAAGAAGATAAAATAAGGATCTTAGATTATGTTCTCTATACCATGTAACCTAAGTTACATCACTGAATTTGAAATATTAGGTTTCTGCAGAAATCAAAGTTTTAGAGACCTCAGATACTAAAAAGAAAACTTCATAAATCAGTTGAATCAGCTCTTTCTATTTATCTGCGTTCATTAACATTTAGTCTGTAAGTGAAGCAGTGTTGAGGTGAGATGCCCCTGCCAGTTCTCCTCCTCTCTGCCTCTGTGTATGTTCACTCTTATGAGCAGATGTTTAGCCGGAAGCTGGAAAATAGACCGGCTGCAGTGAGCTTCTGGGAATTGTACAGCGGTAGGGGCAACAGTTCCAGATAAATGCAACAAACCCGCGGGAAATGAAGTCACAAACTGCTCTAATATGTTTGGCAAGGATTTCTGAGTATTGCCAGCTTACTTTGTAGGCAGTGGGAGGGATGTTGTATTTGTTATACAGTGATATGCTTTTTTGGCTTGTTTTGTATAAAAATAACTTCTTATTTTAGGAATCCCAAGTTGGGATAATAAACAAAATAGTTTGTATTCTGTAGGCTCACAGATTGAAATTGTAAATTATAGTTGTTGATGGCCAAAAGTGGTCACACTCATGGTTTAATCGGAACTTAATCGAATGGAACAGCCTCCATTGTAAACTCACAGCTACGGCTAAGTTTAGCTAAAAACTGATTATTGCCCAAATGTTATTGTGTCAGAAAAATTTCGAAACATGTAAATTCACTGGGTTGGAGGAGCTGGGAAATGCAGCCCAGAAATCCATTTTGACATTTTCATTTAATTGCCGACAGACTTTCTCACTACTAATGCTCTTTTAGATGGGCTGTGGCAGTTTTGTTGTCGACTGGATGTAATTGTTGTGATTCAGTCTAAGTGGCTCAGAGTTCCAAGTGGCAGGAGCAGATCTTGAATGGCACATTAACAAGAGTGCCCTAATCAAATACTTCTGTTGAAAACAACATACGCGCCCCATTAAGCCTTTGTCATGTCCGCCAGCCTCTCCTCATGTTTGCTGTTTAATTGGCTTATTGGAGCCAGGATTCTAACTAATCTAGAAGGGGATACAATTACTTTTATCCTGGTCTTCTATTACCCAAAATAAAGACGTCAGTGGTTAATTACGAAAGGCCTATTAGAGATGTATTCTCCTAATTGCCTGATTGGACCATTAATGACAGTATCTACTGATGGAGACAGGAGTTTGATTCTGTTCATTAGGCTGCGTCTTGGAACATGGATGGAAGGAGGATCAGAGTAGGAAGCACAGCAAGGACTCGCATATGCAAGTTTGGAAAGAGATAAGAAACTTACACATGCTCATCATGTCAATAATTTTTTTTATAAATTTTTTTTTTCTTTTACCAAAAAAGATATAAAACACCCTACATCCCCACTAATATTTGGATAAATGTAGTTTTAATAATTTTTTGCTTGTTTGTTTTTAACCTCTTACACCCTCAGGGGGTATAAATAAATTTCTGCCTGACAAAAACACACAAAAGTAAATCACTTATAGCCTCACAGCTATTAGATTTAAGAAGAAACTTTTGGCACCTCTGTAAAGGTAAGATGTCATAGAATGGTTTTCTGGTGTCAGCACCATTGTAGCTTTGACCCTGCCTGAAATATTAGGGACAAAATACAAAATATTTTGCATTTTTTGAACCTCGCCAAAATTTTCTTTGAAATAAACATTGCAAAACACTACCAAAATATTATTTATAGCACAAAAAAGTAGTACAGACTTTTAAGTCTAAATGTTGTGTAAAAATATACCAAATTTGGACTCAATCAGATGAATCATATTTATTTTAGAATGGTATTAGTGAGAAATTTCTTAGGCGGAGAGGCCATTTTGGCACATTTATCCAAAAATGTCACCAAACTGTGCCAAATGTGTTTTTTACATCAATACTGGGGGTTTGTTAAAATTACGAGGTCATGTAGCAGCTGGACCCGCCGGTGGGTCCGTAGGGTTCTAGGGGTTAAGATATTTGATCACCTGTTGTGGGTTAAAGCTACAGTGTGTAATAATTACAGGGATATACAGTCAGAAATGTAATATATTATACATAACTATGTTATTTATCATCATCTACGAGCTCAGCCTCTTAACCTTAATATTTGCGTTGCCTTAGAATTCGTTATTTATAATTACATAGGAGCGGGTCTCGCAGCCATGGAGGCAGACATCTTTGCGCTACGGCAGCGCAGAGCCAACAAACTAGCGATTTCGAGATCGCCCATTACGCTCGAAAGTAACTACGTCAAGTTGAGAGAGATGAACTGAGACGGTACTGAACAATAGATGGCAGTATCATGCCTGAGAATACTATCTGTAAAATTATCCATGTAAACAAACCTCATCACTTGAGAAGGTAGGTGATGCGGACGTCGTGGAAGACATTTTGTCCCGTAACGCTCGCCGTACTGTTGGGGGGGAGAAGCGGTGGGGGGAAGATGTTAATGTTGCTGCAGTCTGCAGCAACAGTAAAGTTCAAATAAATTGGTTTATCTCTACACAAGTAACAATGTGTTTTGGTAATTGTCATGTTAACCATCTAATCTTATCCAGGTTTCAAATATTTATTATTAATTTGTGAAAGAAAAATTAATTTATTTATTCATCAGTTTTATAGGCTTTTTAAAAGTCCAGTAGTGTGATCTTATCATCAACATTCCTGAGAGCTGGTTTATTGGTCTTTCAATTGTACTTTTGGTTATTGTATCCAAACAGTTTAATATTCAGCCCCGTCAGAACCCATTTTCTGTCACTGTGTGTTTTTTTTTTTATGAAGGGAAAATAAAATTAATCCCATTGCTGTTACACCCCAAACTCCCTTTAATGGGTAGTTTTATACACGTTTTTATTTGACATGTATAAAATAAACCCACTCACTGGTTAATTTTTGAGACAGAAACCCAGATTCCACCTCTGCGCTGTGCACATTTCTTGCAATGTTGCCTTGGTTTCTTAAAAGCGAAATTGAATTCACTGCCTCTATGTGAGTTTATAAAAGGAGCTGTTTTATAAAGCAGATTTTTTTTGTTTTGATTTTAGGCTTTTGATTGAACTATTTACCAAAGGGAATTTGGCTACAAATCTCAGTCAAGCTGGTAGAGACTGATTTTGAAACGGATGTTTCCTTCTTGGTCAGCAGCTGATAACTCAAGCCCACACATAAAGAGACAACTGAGGCTAGGGACCCCAAAAGATCTTAAACACACAGGGGAGGGAGTCTCTGCTGAATTGCTAGACCTGTCAACACCTGCCAGGAGCGGCAGGGGGCCAGAGAAGAGAGCACAGTGGTCCTTAGCCCAGCCTCACATCAGTGCTGGCATCCTCAGCATCCCCACACCTTCCCAGGGCAGCACCCATATGCACAGTCAGTGTAGTAACAGTGAGCCCCTGATATTAGCATCCTATAGGTAAAATTTTTAATATTTACTCATGTATTTTTATCTTAAATTTTCCTTGTCTATCAGTTCTGAACTTTAGATTTTGTATTTTTTTTTTTTTTCATTAAATCTGCAAGAAACCACTTCAGCTTCCGTTCTTGCATTTGGGTCCTCTAAAAACCTCAGAACAACCTGACGAAAGGTGTATGATGTATTCAACCCTAAAATGCATCCTTTAAATCCCTAAATGTATAACCCATTTATACAGGTGATAAAGGTTTCATATGTTTATTTCACAAAGAATCTGCAAGATCTGTTTAAATTATAAATTGTAGGATCAAGATGCTTTGTAATAATCTGGCAATGAAGAGAAAGATATGAATTCACATTTGAGTTTGAAAAAGGAGCTGCTCACATTTACTTTTTTAAGTAACTAAAATGCTTAACGCGCCCCTAATAAGACAAACTTCTGTAGTAACTATACGAACAACCTTGCATTAAAAGTTTAGCAGTCATGAAGACAAACTGCATATTTAATGTTCGGCATAAATGATGACAGTCTGCTCAGTTATCATGGTGCTCTGATGGAGAGATCAGAGAGCATCATTATCCTCAACAGCTCCACTTTCTATCTCCATAAGCAATCTCTTTACCCTTCTACAAGTTTGTTTGCATGAAGGAGTCAGGAAAAAGTTGTCATCCTCGTAGCGTTCCTTTTTCATCACCTCATCACTGTCAGGAGGCTGACAGACAGATCGACAGCCTGCCTGAGAGACACATGGGGGAAAGTAGGTCATGATGAACTATCAGAGGTGCTGACTGCTCTGTGAAATGAGCAGCTAGTTTGACATGAATACTAATCACTGCTGTTACCGTTTGAAAAGCCTCAGCTGAAAACCGTGTAACGTAACTTCCCAACCAGTCCGCTAAAAACACGCAGCATAGTTAGTCCTATAGGACTTTTAACCATCTTTCTGATCACACTGATTAATTAATTTTCCATTGAGGCTGTTAAATTTTTTAATGCTATATCAAAGAAATTTCAAACTTGATTTACTTTCAACCATCTTGCCATTATTTAGAAGAAGCCAGTGGTAGCTAATTAGCAGAGGTTATATATTCGCCCACTCTTTATCAGAAAAAATATGTTTAAATGTCGAAAGTCAACCAGTTCAAAAATAAAACCTCTTTAGTTTATCAAACTAATCTTAGGCCAAGATAATGTTAGTAAACAGGAACTTATTAAATATTCCGTTTTATTGAAAGGGGAAAAATCCCAAACACACCAGCACCTATGTTAAGAAGGGATACCACTCTTCTAAAGGTGATTATAATTGTTTAAGTAAGCAATTTGTACTTTACAACATGTTGCAACACACTTCTCAAAATGCTTTACCAAATAGTCGGTTAACAAGTACATTTTCATTCATTTCAAATTGATCATATTCGTAAAACGATGCATTTAGTTTAGCTTATAATAGGAATTGGTTGAAGGTTTTTTTTTTGTCTGAGGAAATGCTACAGAATGCATAGAGTCAGTGACTTGCAGTATTCTTTCCTCTTGGATTAGCATACAAATACAGTGGAGAGTTGCTTTCATTATGTTGTTAATATTCCAGCAAGCATTCCCTTACATTGATAAAGCATGTGACAACACTGCTATCCAAAGGGGCTAACCGGGCTTACCAAATCCTGATCTGGTTATACTGAAGAATCAAAAAACAATTTAAAAAGTTTGATTAAAATAAGCTTAACGATTTTAAAAAGCAGCACATTATAGATCATTGTTACAACTTCAAAACTTTAGTAAATCACAAAACAAAAGAACAATTAAGAACCAACAATGTCTGAAGCCCAACAGGCCTCTGTCAGAGTCAGAGTTTAACATTTGACAATACAAGACTGCTCTAAAAAGACAATCTATTGGAGAGACCCAAAGCACAAAGCACTGCTTACTGAACAACACCCTCAAACAGGAATTCAAAGATATAACCCAGAACACAGACGAGACAAACGTTAAATAATTGCAATATGTGGAACCCATAGCATGTGGTGTTAAAAGTGATAGAGCACTACAACGAAGAAGAACGTGTAAGGCCGCTTTTGAGGATCTACTTCTGTCTATTTCTCATGTTTTCTATTATTTTATTTTGTTTTGTGTTCTTCTGTCTTACCAGGCGCAGAGGGTCTTGGATTCAGCATCACGTCCAGAGATGTCCCTATTGGTGGAAGTGCTCCTATTTACATTAAAAACATTCTTCCTCGAGGGGCTGCCATCCAAGATGGACGACTGAAAGCTGGAGACCGGCTGTTGGAGGTAAAGCAGGGCTTTTGAATCATCTCTATCCATTTTGTTCAGACAATGGGGCGACAGTGGCGTTGGATGTAGGAGTTTGCCCTGAAATCGAAGGGTTGACGGTTCAAGCCCCGACTTCGACTTTCAGTGTCGTTGTGTCCTTGGGCAAGACACTTCACCTACATTGTCTACTGATGGTGGTCAGAGCGCCAGTGTACGGCAGCCCCGCTTCTGTCAGTGAGCCCCAGGGCAGCTGTGGCTACAATGTAGCTTGCCACCATCAGTGTGAATGGGTGAATGAATGTAGTGTAAAGTGCTTTGGTCAAGTCTCCTGACTTGAATAAAGGTGCTATATAAGTACATGCCATTTACTATTTTTTCAGGAACAATATATATTATGTATTTTTATCCATATTTAAACGTTGAGTAGTTTTTTTGTTGGAGCAAAAATCTCTGTGACCCTTTTAAGATGAACAATGTTTAGATCCTGAATCTGATCGATGGTGATGCTAAAGTAGAAAACAACTTTCATTCCCCCTTAAGATGACTGTGGGGAAAGGATCATGTTATGTTTAGGTGAGCATCTTGTCATTCTAAAGTTTGCTCTTTGTAATTGCTGAACATTTTGCCTGCAGGTTAGTGGAGTGGACCTGAATGGAAAGAGTCAGGAGGAAGTGGTGGCCCTACTTAGAGCTACCCCCATGGATGCGATGGTGAACTTGCTGGTGCTTCGTCAGGATGACCCCATACTGCCTCGAGAAGTGGTCAGTACTGTACTACACTCTCAGCTTATGGGTTTCTCTGCTGGTTTAACATTCAGATATATGGACATATTTTTAAATGTTGTAGTGGGAAAAAAAAGTATTCAACTATTTGCTCCAGTTGAATAAACAAGAGATTGATGGATTTCACTCAGTCTGCACTTTATTTTTATCTTTGCAAAGAGAGAACAATTCATCATACGACCGTTATATCACAGTAATCAGCCCTGTTCTGCCTGGGCAGCATTCGTTCCCCCTTACTTACAATAATGGAAAGTTGTCAGAGTCAAAACAAATTACAGACGCTTTGGTTAAACAGTAACATGTTATGAATAAACTTTGAGAACGAATCTGGTTTGTTATTGGAAAAAGGCATGTCTTGTCTAATAACACACCCTCACACAGGGGAATTGTGTGGCCTTGCATGTGAAACAGACTGAGTGAAAACTTTTATAGTGATAAATTATTATAATTGAGTTAATAGGATCAATTAATATATGAAATAAGAGCAACTAAAATTTCCGACTACAATGTTTATCAGAAAAAAATCTTACATCTTATATTTGGGTATTTAATTTAAGTTTGAATGTCAGCTATAATATAGTTTCAAATTTGGAACTGTTTTATTTAGTGATTTTTTTTTGTTTTTGATCGTAGCAACTGCATAGTCTGTGTAATGTTTTACTTATTTATAAGGTCAGTACATGTCTGCAGTTCAAGTGCAATAAGCCAACTACTCCCTTAGCTCTCTGCTGTGCAGTTATTTTTATATCTAAAGGAAACATATTCCACAACATTACAATTTTTTTTCTACTCTTTTTATATAATCTGTTGTATTTTTATCTTTAATGGCATCTTGCTTTAACTCTTTGACCCTAATATAAGCTACTGGAACCAGAATTTTCCTGAAGGAGTAATCCCAACGGATAAATAAAGTTGAGTCAAAGTCTGAGTCTAAGTCTAAACATCCTGTTGCCTCCTGTGAGGTTTGACATCACAACCATTTATTTCACATGAAGGCCACTTTAAACCATTCAAATGGCGAAATTTCTTAGTGTATTGCAAACAAACTCTGCAACGGTGATAGTTGTATTATTTATATTCAAATGATTGCTGGAATTTATAAAATCCCTTTATTGTCCTTCAATGGGGGAATTGTGGTTTTACAGTAGCAGAATCATTACAAAAAAGTGGTCACACAATGTGCGCCTTAAAAGTGTATGGAAATAACAGAATAAGTGACGAAGCTTAAAAATAAACCAAATAAAATTCTGTACTGTACAGTGTTTTTGCAAATATAAATACTGTGCAGTCACCCAAAGAATAAGTAATTAATATAACGCTGTGGATAAAACAGGGTTCCCGCGGGTCCTTAAAAAGTCTTAAAAGGCATTGAATTCTTCAAAATAAAACTAAGGCCTTAATTGGTATTAAAATGTCTTAAATCAGTCTTTCGTAGGTCTTAATTTTTAAAACATTATAAATAGGATTATTTTTATTATGATTTATTTTTGTAATCTAAATAAAACATTAAAATGTACTTTTTTTTTCATTTAAAAAAAACGATGGCTCGCCATTATTGGTTCCGTCCCGATAGCGGAACCAATAAAAGTGTTATTGCAGCCGGGACATTTGGGAGATGCACCATTTACTTTTTGTCTGGAAAATATGAGCATCTGTAAATGTAACGAAAATTGTCTATCCAACCAAGAGTTTTCTCCATGGCTAAAACCAGTACCAGGGAAAATACATGAGGCGCAGTTTATTTTGTGCAAGAAGCGATTTAAGCTCGGAACGATGGGAATTGAGGCAGTGGAGTCACAAGCAAAGTGCGAAAAACAAAGCGTCAAAATGGAGTTACAGAGAAACAGCCGGTATTTCTCAGTTTTGTTCCACCCTTGTCTCTGCAACGCCTCCACTTATCACCAAATCAAACATACTAAGAAAACCATACAAAGAAAAATAGCTGCAAAAAAGACTTGGTTATGTTGTGGCTTTAAAACTGATTTGTTTTGTTCCCTGCTAAAACAAAGTTTGTGAATTCATTTAAATAGTTGTTAAAATATATCTGTCATTTGTGTGTTTTTAGCTTTATTCCTGTATGGGAAGCTTTTCAAAATTTGAAACATTAGTGCAGTGGTTTATGTTATAATAATCCTTTGGGTTAAGTTGTCTCAAGTGGGTTTTTCTTCTGTTTCTTGTGAATTTGGTCTTAAATTTTTATTTCAAGTGGCATTAAAAAGTCTTGAATTTAACTTGCCTTATTCTGTAGGAACCCTGTAAAATAGCAGCAACACCAAAGATGTGCAATATGACTGCAGCATGTTATTTAAGAGAATTTCACACGTGGTACAGCTATAGAGATAGTTGAACATAACCATACTGTTCAAAATGAAAACAGGCCATCTATCTATATACTAGGTTTTCATGAGAAAATTCTTTCAACTTCTTTGTGTTGATTGTGCAGTAATCTGGTTAACATCATTATTAACGTCCTTGGGATATTTGCTTTATGTCTTAACACCCTGCAAATATAGATCCCATAGTGTCTGTGGTTATGTAGCTTAAACTCTCCCTAAAGCTTTGATATTTCTTGTCATTTTGTGGTTAAAATCTTAGTGTAATTCTGCTCGGGTAATCAAGTGAAATAGCTCCCTTTTCCCTTTGCTGAAATAACTTGTGAAGTGCAGGCTGCCTTGAAATTGCATTTGCTGTTTTTTTTTTTTTTTTATATTCATAGATTTTTCTCTCTTAGTGGTTTAAAGAAGTATTTTCAATGCCTTATTTCACTCCATTTTAGCTCCTTACAACAGCCCTCATTCCATTGACTAAGATGAATAAAAACTCTTTTGAATAAATAGATTATATGAGTCGAAAATGCAGACATATAGAATATGAAGTTTTGAGGTTAGTTCGGAAGCAACAATTCTCTCATTTATAGACCCAGACAGGATGAAAAGAAAGTGCACTGCTTTCAGTTTGATCATTAAACTGATCTTTAAGATCTTTCTAAGTTTTTGTAAAACTGGAGTTCAAACTTGCGAAAACAGACAATGCCTCTTCATGTATCATCAACCAGAAGCCAAATGATAAAGGTTGCAAGTGCTAATATATGAGCCTTTGCTGTATTTTGGTGTTTTAAAAGGTTTAAGAAACAACCAGATGCTGCTAATATTCAAGCAGAAGTTTGAAAATTTTTTTGAGTGGGAAGCATGTGGGATTCTTTTGATAAAAAAGGAGGGAACAGTTGGAACAGATGGTCTTGCAGTGTAATCTTAAGTGAGAACATGTTTTCCTTGTGCATACGTATGTTCTTTCATCATACTCCCATAAAAAAAAAAAAAAAAGGAATGGCGACAAATCAAACATTTAAGTAATGATTAAGGAATTGTCCCTCGATTTGAGATGATTTGTGCTGGAGTGTTTGCTCTGTGTATCTCTTATCTGATGGACTCACCTGTCCAGGTTAGTGACCTACCCATTATCTCATCCAATGACAGCTCAGCATTAGCACCAGATTCACAAATGGAAGGCATTCAAGATTGTTACAACTCTTTTGAAGTTTGAAGACATTTCTCTTCCCATCCAGGAAACTTTCTTAATTCAAAATATCAGGAATAGCTTTGAGTTCGAGGTTTTATACAGTAGCCCAACAAAGCCTTGTTTTGTTTTGAAAACATGCAAATTGAAACGGATAAAGGGCTCCACCCCTTTGGAAACAGGGTCGTTTGGCTTTTTTGTTAGCCTGCAATGCCCCATACCTGTCTAAGTCTCTGAAAGGGGGGTCTGTAAAGGGAATTGTTGGCCTGGCTGAATAGGCAAAGTGTTTTCTAAGGTCACAAGACCAGCTGACTCCTTCAGTCACTGAGTTTTCTGTCATATTTGGCACCTGTAGCATAAAAATGATATAAATCTCAAACCATGCAAACAGATCTTCATCTGAATGGCTAAAAAAAGAAGAACGTTGTCAGTATTAGTGTTGCGCTGATGCCATTTTTTGGCCCCGATACCCGATACCTGGCTGTGCAATATCGGCCGATACCGATACCATAATAATGTAAAATAATTGCCATCATGGCTTTGCCAAGCTGCTGCCTACCTTTGTGAAGCAATAAAAAAAATCTAATACAAAGTGAATCCAGTAGAACTTTTTATTGCCTACCAGGAGTGGGTGACAATAGTTGAATAAACGTATGGCTCTCAAAATGGTATCGGTGCCCTATTTGTTGGTACTCGCCGATACCGATACCACCATTTTAGGGCAGTATCGGGGCCCCGTCCGATACTGGTATCGGTGCAACACTAGTTAGTATTTCCTAGTCAAAGCCCACAGTTCGTCATGACTTCATCTTAGAATGAAAGGTTTAGAATCTTTAAGTAGCACAAAGTTATTTAAGTCAATTTATGGAAGGTTTTTTTAAAGAACAGTGGCCAAAATATACAAAGATAAGCTGACAAATGAGGTGACAAATGATCCAGACTGTGAAAAATAGTGGTCTTTTGATTTATTACACTTTTATTTTATCCCCTTTTGAATTTGATATCCAAACAAACTTTTTGTGCTCAAATGCACGTCTTTGGTTATTTTCACATACATCCGAAGAAACACTCCTGCAGACAGACAGAGTTATGCTCAGATGCGGCGCCTGCATACAGGGTGACTTTGGCTGTCGCGAAACAGATGGCAGGGCTACTGCCCTCATCCAGCCTGCTCTTAGTGGCTCTGACAGCAGGTGTGGGCTTCACAGCGCCTCAACAGAGCAGGAAGCCCTTTAGTCCAACCTCTCTACTTCCCATAAAACTCAGCCTGCCACCAAGGCTCCTAACCCTGCCAAAGGAGCTGTTAAAACTTTACATTGCTAAAAAAAACGAGGCAGATTTTACCACAGAAATGCAGCTCTGTCTTTACATTTCACTCTTTTCTGTCTTACTGACCAACAGCCTAGTTTTATTTATAGAACAGAATTAATATGACACTTCTGTTTATTTTTCTCTCTTTTTCT